GCTATATGGTAATCCGTTTTGGAATAAGGCTGTAAAATGACAAAATGTGGAACAATTGAAGCGCTGTGAATACTTTCTGGATTTTTTTGTTTTTGATCAATGCAATAACAGTTTTGTCATGTTTTTTTAAAAAAAAGAAACAAAGAAATGCATTTTAAAGATGAAACATTCACAATGTTGATTTCCCCATCTGTCAGTAGCAACTTCTGCAAAGCTACTCCTACAACACGTTGTTTTCACCATCACAAATCAATCAAACACCAGTTAATCTGGAACACCGGCCATGCCTGCAGTGACTAAAGCGTCATTTTTCAGTGTACAGGTTTAATTTAATCAACTATTAATGTGAACAGTGCTCCAAGGCACCAACAACCTATGTGCCTTTAATATGACATTATAATTTGAGGAACGAATATGCATGTTGCATAAAAAACAAAACAAAAATACATAAATAAGGGGAAAAAACACAAACAGTCCACACAGAAAGAATCTCAGTGGGTTTGAACAATATTTTGTTCGTGTGGAGATTGAAGACAAATCTCTGAAGTGAGTGTGTGCTTGTGTGTGAGTGTTTGTGCGTATATCTGCACGCATGTTTTAGGGAGATTTAGGGTGTGTGTGTTGGTGCATGTATTAGTATGAATACAAAGCAAATTAAGAATTGATCTGTGTGCTGTTTAATGAACCAGCTGGACACTTTGACACGTATCTGCGTGATCCCACACGTGTGCAAACATATACATATACATACATACATATATATATATATATATATATATATATATATATATATGTATTCATCAGCCTGTGGAAGAGTGCTGTATGTACAGTTTTGCTAGGCCATTAAAAGATTTCTGACACACTGTTTCTGCATATGACATTTGAAACAAAAAAGTGGTCATTTCAGATTCACTCTTAGATCGTAGATCACATCACATTGCAGTTAGTAGGTAGTTCTGAGGTTTCTGACACTTAATACCTCGATATAAAATTGTTCCACAAACTGCCTAATGTTTATCTGCAACTTTGGTCTTCTTTTGCACTCTGGCTTATTGTTTCTTATTTTATTACCTCACTATGGTAAAGCCTGGGAAAACATGAAGTGTTACTGTTTTTTATGTATAGTGGAACCTGTAGTTGAAGTCCTTCATTACAGTTTAGAGAAACCAGGCATCAATCAGATACTGTTTTCTGAAGGTCATAAAGCTATTCTTGTCAATGGATGTGCACATCAAATTTAAAATAGAGAGTGAAGGACAATTTTTAAGGAGGTGAGCTTAAATGCTATCACTGCACCTGAATATAAAACAAGGAGAAGTATAGGAAGGATACAGGAAGGAAGTCTGATAGTTTTCTTCTGCTTCTGTCTCTCTACTTGTACTAAATGCACAATTAGGATGTGTCTTGCTTTTATTTTCTTACAGGCTACTTTATTCTAGTATCCTTTCTAAGACAAAACATGTAAGTGTAACAAATTCATTTTAAGTTAGTCTGTCACCATGATGTTATCTCTGGAAATAGTGTAAGCTTTAATCATATAAAGAACAGGTTTTAGAGCTTTTAGTTGGCTTACATAACTGGCAGATCCTGATTTAGCAGTCAGTTGTTCTTATGGATATAAATGTTTCTGCATTTTTAAGTTTTAAATCAGTAAACCTCTTTCTTTTTCCACTCATTGCTATCATTTTCTTCTCTCCTTTCCTCTGCATTACTAACATCTTTCCTTTTGTGCGGTCTCTACATTCATGTTCCTTCTCTACTCTCCTTTCCTCTCCTCATTGATCCATTTGTCATCTTCTCACCACTCTTCATCCCATCTTTCCTCCTTTCCCCTCCTTGCTTTGCGTGAGGTCAGGATAATGGTACTAATTTGTGTGTATGCGTGCGCTTGTCCCCTATTTGTCCCCTACTAGCTTTGACACCACCGACCTACAGATACTGCTGTATCAACAACAGCAGCTCATACACGTACACACATCACAAGTGACGGCATCTGAAGATACCTTAACAAGATAGTTTAAACTGAAAGAGAATGCAGGAAAGGAAAAGGAGGGTTGAAGAGGAGGGAAACTATTGAGGTAGTACATCACAGTTTTTTGTTTTTTTTTATTGTTATTAAAGATAAATGCATTAAATTCAAGGAAACAGCATTACACTGCAGCCAGGAATATGTTCACCAAGTAATTCCCATACATTCATTTCCATATATTCAGGTAATCAGTAAAAGGTGCTGTGCAATTCCCCTTGCAAACATTTATCTACAATAAGTAATTACACCAAAAGGTAAGTTAATAGAATCTGATGTAAAACCAAATGGAAATCTAATCTTTCTGAGCTTATTGCCTCCAACTAAGACAAAAAAAACAACAACCACAGAAACATTTTCTCCCTTAAGAATTTATACTTTATTCTTCTTAATCAAGAATAAAGTTAAAGTGGAGAAATTTGATGTAGTGCTACACTGACATTTATTACTGCAGAAGCTTCAAACCTATAAAAGAATTTTAAAAGCTTCACCAGAAGTGTGTATCATACAGTATGTGTGCGGCAACTCCCAGAGTGCTATGACGAGCATTGCTTCAATTGCTAATGCACTGTGCCCCATTTCAAAAGCTGCCATGGCCATCGGCTTTATTTCAAGATAAATCATAAATGATAGAGAAAACTGTCTAATTTTGAAGGTTCCATTGAATGTGGGTGAGAAATGCCTTGACGATCAACATTTTCTGAAACATTCTTTATTTCTCTCTGACAGTGGGACAGATGAGCCTCTGGTTTGCTGTTTGTTTACATGAAACAGAAACAACTAACACAGTTCTGTTCAAAGGTAACAGTCCCTACCTGCTGTTAGGTAGATAGTGTTATTCACACAAAAGTAGGAGTATAAAAACGAAATATTGTGTTTTCATGTGTGGTTAGATGCTGGCTTATGACTTAGCTGGTCCTAGTAAGTCCTGTAATAAGACCTTGTAAAATGGTTACTTACAGTATTATTAAACTAATTTTGACCTTGAAGCTTGACCTTCTGTGGTCAACCTGTAGTGATAACCCTTTGACCCCAGCTGAAACTACACCAAGGTAGGACAGCAGTCTGTTGTTTTTAAACACGGAGCTGTGTTTCTTTCTCAGTAATAGCTGTTTAAATATTTATTTGTGCTTGTACTATACGGTTGTCTGTAAACATCTAGATGTGGTATACCTACCCACCACACACATATAGCAAAACACTAACATTACATCTATTTGAATGAGTACTTTCCATTTTCCCTGTGTTGTTATTGATTGTAGTTAAACAGCACCACTCCTGTCGGCTTGTACCAGGAAATTGGCTTCATATTGAAACTGTCACAGCGAGGATGTGTTTCATTTTAGACCCCGAGGGCACAGGGAGTGTAGTGCCAGAGGAATCAATCCTTATTCCCTTGTACTGGCTTGTTTTTGTAAAGGAAATACTTGTTTATTAATTAGTGTGGTGGTTGTGTATCCAGCTTGTATGGAAAAGCCACTTAAGGCTTAAGCTGGCTCTTCCATCCCAGGTTCAATTCCAAGTATAACGGAACGTGATTCAGCTTAAGATTGCCATAGACAGACACCGGTCATACTATCTTTCTAACAGCTGCTCCAGATTATCTGTACCCTGTTGTGGAAGGCATTACTCAGAAAGTATTAAATTATTACAGAGTCAAGAAAAAGCATGATACGTGTGACAGAAACTGTAGGGTCTTTACCTTACAATATAAAGCCACCCAAGGTCACTGTTGTTGTGACTTGGTGCTATATGAATAAAACTGAACTTAATTGAAATTGAACACAAAATCTATATAATAAAAAAAAAAAAGGTTTTTGTGCTTATAGAACCGCCTAAATTTCTTTAAAGAAAATTATAGTAATTTAATCAAAGTTTTAGTTGCCTTATGAATATTGGCAACTAAAGCAGTAAGTGAATTGGGTGTTAGTCATACTGTGTTACATGTGTTCAAGATATCCTTATGCTATATCCTCAATGAGTCAGGGCATTTTTTTTAATCCTTGTGCACATACAAAAGATAGACATGTAATTATACAAGATGCATCATAATTTCCTTAGGGATCAATAAAGTATTGTGATTCTAATGCATTATATTCAATGAGTGGTTTAAAAAAATCTAATTATTCCATTGAAAGTAGGACAGTTCAGATCGAAGCAATGCAGAAACAGCAAAGAAGAAATATTCCAACAAGTAACTATGGGTGTGTTTGTTTTTTCTTTCTTTTTTTTTTACATTGTGCTTTGGTAAATAACACCAAATCTGAAGGGAAACCTTATTTATAAGAATGTTCCGCCTGGCAATTTTTAATCAACAGATGTGAAGGTCTGGAATATTTATATGTATGCGACCTGCAAGCAAACCCTTTTTCCTGATGTCTGGAAGGTGAAAAAATGGAAACCCATACGAAACCATTTATCCCTGCGATACGGCTTACGTGTAACCATAGCTTAGTAATTGCAGCTTAACTAGGAAACTCATATCTGTTTAGCTGGCTCCCTTTTATGATTAAACTGTCCTTTAAACCCAAAAAAATATTTTGGGCAGATAAGCACAAGAATCCCATATCAGCATCTGATCACTGCCATTCAATCAAACAAGATTTAAGAAAGTAAAGCCTGAACACAGTAGTGCTCTTTTATAAAAGAACAACGCGAGTCCTCAAAGACTTTGGATTATAGTCATAATTGAAGATAGATTGGAGATAATTTATGCAAAGAGATCTATCTCCTCACAGTTTGATTTTTTCCTAGTTTATTATCTGTTTTATATGAGTATATGGGTAAACTAGAGTTTACGCAGCAAGATGTGTGTTTGTTCAATTCCATATCACGCAAATACACAAATTCTTGGTTCCTTGTGTCTTAAAATGCTTTGGTATTTTAGGTTGTCACCTTTTGTAAAGTTTATTACATCAAACTATTTCTATAATTTACACATGAGCATTTCACTGTGCTTATTTTGAATGCTTACCTTAACCACATCCACATCTGTTGAGCTGCAGGTGATGGAGTCGTCCACCTCCCTCACCTGCCCATCGCTTTCCACAGTAACCACTTTGATTGGCACTGCAACATGTCGACCAGTTAGAATGGCTGTATTCACAATCTCTGTGTCCTGTAGAGGGAAGGAAAAAAATTTCATGAGCCCTGAAGTTCATGTCGCTCGAAATAGTTGGTGGTTGGTACATACAGGAATAAAACTCAAAACAGTATATTATTTAGATATATATATTTATCTATATTTATATATATATTAAATCATTCGACATTTTAAATTAAGTCAAATGTCATTTTTCTCAAATTTCTTTTGTTGAAACTTGAGATGAAAGAGCTAGCACTGCCCTTAGCAAGAAGCTCCAAGGTTCGACTCTGGGGCTTTCTGTGTGGATTTAACATGTGTGCATGTGTTTCCATATTATTTTTATTTACTTTTAATATACAGTATAAGACCCAGCACAGCACTGTCTTTCAATTAGACAACTGAGATGATATGCTGGGGAAACCTGAAATTTATGCCAGTGTTAATAATAAGCTACCAGGCATTATCAGAGCTTCAGACTAAACTCCCACCCAAACTTTGACATGCAATACTCAAAGTACATGAAAAGTAAGACTTTACTGATTATGGTGAAAGATGCAGGATGAGAAAGAGGAAGAACCACTGTGTGGAGACGATGGAGAGTTTTTAAAGGAAGAGAGAGAGAGGGGAAAAGGTGATTATAAACCTTGTGATTATTGTAATCAGCTTGATTACATTTGATTAAATCCTTTGAACAAAAATAGTACAAACAAACCAGCATACATGCACACCTCAGAACACTGTGTGCCAGTGTCAATCTTGATTATTTGGCATTGAGTTTCCAAGGGGGCATTTATCACCGCCAACACACACACACACACATACGAGCCTGATTACAGAGTACTGTTCTGTGCCCCTGTGTCTGGATGGGAAGTATGTATATGTGTCTGTAATTTGACACCAGTGGAATTAAGCTCAATATACACGATGCCAGCAGAGAAGATGAAGAAGTTTTAGCTTTAGTTTAGGCCATTTTATTCACTATAAAGGAACAACATTACCCAGAAACAGTTTCAAGCTCAGAGGCAAATTCTGTGTACTGTATCGAAAATAAGTGCAACTAAATAAGTAGAATAAGATGTCACAAACACACACACACACAAATAGGACTTCTGATCCACACACAATCCCATTTAATAAAAACACTGTTTACGCACAGGTAACCAGCAATAATATTCTTTATCTGCCCTGAGGTGGAAGAAGCAGCAGATTGTCTTTATAAAATAACCAGAACAGTAGATAATGTGTCTGTTTTTCTGTATGTCTATATATGTATGATAAAATGTGTGCAGTATCCTGAGGCACTCGCCACAGTAGTGCCATAAATACTACGTTTATATCTCTGCTTTTTATACTATAGGCACAAAAACGGGACTTGCCAACATTTGAATGATGATGAAACAGTTAAACTTAGAGCAAGGCTATGATACAGTTATTTGATTTGGCACAGTCACAATTATGTGTGCGTGCATCTTCTAGGGTGTGCAAGATGAATATCCAGCTATTGTATAGAAATAAAGCCAGTTATTCACATTATCCTGCAAAACTATTTGATGTTTTTAAAGTTTACCTTACTAGGATAGTTAAGAAGTTGACATCTTGGGAAATAAGAAGTCACGGGAAATCTGGCACAAGTTGGTCAGAACTATAGCTGACGCCCAGTCTTTCCAAACAGACATTTTAATGGGTATTTTAGGTAGTTAATACCTTATAAAGCATTATGTAATTTCAGAGAAAGAAAAGTGCTTTACTTTTTATTTAACTATATTTTACTAGAGACTTTCAAATTTCAAGATTTTTGAAATGATTTAATACTTTGTTACATACAGTATCAAACTGACCTGAGTTTAATTTTTCCTGAGCATTGACATTTTGACAAACCTCTGGCCTGTATCTATACAATTAAATCTCATGCTAATTTTAGTCTCACTGGCTGTGCAATATGCTAATTGTAAGGATTTTCCTATTGCCATCATAAATGAAACAAATCCACCGGGTCTTCAGTTCCACTGTACGTGGAGGTGTTTGAATTTTCACCTGTATTTTTAGCTTAGCAGAAACAGCAATTATGAGTTAAGTGAGAATACTCATTCTTTGTTTGAGGGCGAGCCAAGCTAGGTCTGCATTATGCAAATATCTTATAGTCTTTGTTCTATTCATGAATATGTGTTTTTATGACATGGGAACTATTGCTGCATCTGCTGCATCTGCTATTAGTGTCTCAAACTGACTGGAGTGATAAGGGTTTGTGAAATTTCTCTTGGTCTGTATGAAAGCTATTGAAAGAAATAGGCTTGGTAGGGTTAGGGTTTTTCTTTTTTTTGTTTTGTATAGTGTCATGTGCTTGTCTTTATATTTATCGTTACCTTTCCCTATACTCAAACTAAACTTAACATTGTGTCAGCAAAGAAAAGAGCCTTACTCATTGGATTTCCTCTCTCCAGAAACAGAAAGAGATTGAAGGAATTGTTTCAGAGCGTGTATGGGGAAGAAAGACCTCAAACAGAAAAAAAAAAAAAACCCTCACCTGGTCATTATGCAATCTGCAATATGAAACAGCACTGATGGACAATGTGTTTTTTACAACAAAAAATATAGTCCATACATTTTTCAAAAGAAATTTTGTCAGAACAAAAAGTAAAAAGATGCAAAAATAGAGAAAACAGAAAAATTAATGAATGAGAACAAATTTTCAGAAAATAGAGAATGTGAAAATTAGCAGATAAAACATAACAGGAAGAGGAATATTAGAGCAACTGTAAAGGAGACAGAAAAAGAGCCAGAGAAAGAAAAGGAAAGAATTTCATGCCTGTCCATGGGAATTATTAAGTGGCTCGTCAACAACTGGCTCCCCTACTGCCTTCAAAAGCCGCTGCACACTGCACTGAGATAAGCTCAGAGCAAGTGTGTGTATGGGTGGTAAATGTGTCAAGTATTTGTATGTATGAATGAATGTGTTTTTGTGTGAGTTCATGTAGGTTCCTGACAACACCTGTTCATGGGTATGTGTGTCTGTTTATGCATAAGAGTCTCACTCATGTACACATATATACACATATTTGGCAAGAGGGAGCAAGAGACTGTGTGTGTGTGTGTGTGTGTGTGTGTGTGTGCACTTAAACCTATGCACTGACAAATATGTTTGTATGTGCATGTTACAGAGAAAAAATAAAGTCTAGGGAACGGCCTCCCTCCTCAGCAAAGTTTAGCCATGCATGCATGCGTGTGAGAATGTGCAACTTCAAGTGAAGCAACTAGAGCGAGACCACCCATCAGTAAAACACACACACACAAAGAGCAAAATAGTTGACACAGTAAAAAATGTGAGCATTTTGCTCTTCTGTATAAATTCAATTCCATCTTACAATATGGGTTTGTAAGCATTTCTCTTTCTGACTCTCCTTACTTCTCCTCTGCTGATCTTCACCCACTCTCTTTCCGTCTCTCTCTTTTTTACACACACTCTCACATAAAATGCCAGAATTTCTTTCCATCAAAATAAAAATACAGACAAACAATTAACACAAAGATATTAACACATGCTTAAAAACACACATATAAATGAGAACATATCTACCCTATCTACTATTCTCTTCATTTCTTAAATTGTCAAGTTTCTTATTTGGGACATTTTTGGAACATATACAACTCTTGTCATCCGTTTGCACTTTTTTTGACCTCTAACCACAGTCTTGCAAACCCTGTGGCATAAGTCCCAGCCACCCCCACCCTCACCCACCCCGTTCCTTCTGCTACTGCCCTTAAAGAATTTAAATTTCTGTTTTTGGGAAATAAATGCATCATATACTACAGTCCATCTTACTAGAAGAGTAAGAAAGGGTTCTGCAGCAAGTCTACTTGTTCTTTTATTTTGAAGGAACGATTTTATCATTATAAAGAAAACAGACTGTGTTTGGTGTCTTTACCTGTAAAAATGAAAAAACAAAATCATGTCACATGATTGCAAATGAGGGCTAGCCATCTATGACTTTCTGAGTTTGAATACATTAAACTGAATGATGTTAACACACTAAGACATGATAGAATTTCTTCTATACCCAAAGCAACAGGACACTGTTTTAAATTCAAAGCAGTCATTTAATCAGCCTATAGCCCTTTGGCTATATTAAATACATGGCACACACTTACAAAGCTAGGCACATATTGACACATTTGGGCCAAACCAAGCATGTGCTTTGCTAAAAGCAAACAACCAAATGGCCCAAAAATGCATTAAAGGCATCCCATTTATTGACATATGAGTCATTTAGTTAAAAGGACGAATAGTTAATGGAATAATTGGCGTTTTAATCAGGAATGTACTCAATATCCCCATTAACAAATGTTATTTGATCCAGACCCTATTCCCATGTCATTATGCAATCATTATACAATCATTGAATTTCATTCCTCCGTGTATGTATTTGCACAAATACAACAGAGAAACAATTGCGTTGGTTTAGTCAGAGCAATGAAGTTGCACTTAATCATCAAAGGCCATCATGATCAATGTTCAGTTGTTATTTGTCACTGTAAAAGTCCCACGCTGTTCATCTTGATATTTGCTGTGATATAAAAACGTGTGGTACAAAAGAAAACAGAGAAAGACTGAAAAGATTTTTTTTTTTGCTATTGTACATATTTGTGCATCCAGAGTTCAGAAGGCCGAAAGGCAGAAAGCTTATATTGCATGCATGTGTGCATCTACACCAAAATCCCACAGCAGAAGGCTAGTAAAACAAATTTTAGGTCATGCAACCCTGTACAATGTTTAATACATATATACATATACAGCGTTAATTAATCATTAAAGTCATTAAAGGCGTGCATGTGTGCAAATCTAGTGTTTAACATATTTCTGCTCCAATGCCATTGTCAAGACAGGGTTTGTACATTAATTGAGGTTCTTTGAAGTTGTTTTGCTGCACTGGAATT